GCAGACATTTGGACTATATCTCCCAGTTCACGACAGACCTTCGTCACATCCAAGGCAAGTCGAACTGTGTTGCCGATGCTCCATCACGAATCCAAATGAATGCAGTTACCCTGCCGGTGCTCGATCTTCCTGCTATGGCCGCTGCCCAAGCAAACGATCCCAGTTGTACAAAAGCACCACACTCTACGTCCCTTCAGTATCAGGAAGTACCTCTAGCCACGACTTCTGGCACCATTCTATGTGATACGTCTACCGGTCTTCCTCGACCCATCGTACCCTCTGCTTATCGCCGTCTCGTATTCGATGCCCTGCATGGATTATCTCACCCAGGTATCGCAGCTACATTACGCCTGATCGCTGCACGATACGTCTGGCCGTCCATGAATAAAGATGTTCGTATGTGGGCGAAGCAATGCTTACAATGTCAACGATCAAAAGTGCACAGGCACGTAGCCGCCCCCCTCGGTACATTCGCTACGCCTGATGCTCGCTTCGATCACGTTCACTTAGACATTGTAGGACCACTGCCACCATCGCACGGGTATGATCACATACTCACGTGCATCGACCGCTTCACCAGATGGCCCGAAGCTATACCCATCACGTCTATCACGGCGGAGACAGTTGCTCACCGCTTCGTAGAACGATGGATAGCGCTATATGGTTGTCCCTCGACCGTCACGACTGACCGAGGACAACAATTTGAGTCCGCACTATTCTCCTCACTTACTCGGCTGCTTGGTACGGAACGAATACGCATTACCGCCTACCATCCAGCTTCAAACGGTTTAGTGGAAAGGTTTCACCGTCAACTTAAAAGTGCTCTTCGAGCACACGAAAACGACAACTGGTACGAAACCTTACCGCTCGTTCTTTTAGGTATCAGAACGAGTTTAAAGGCAGATATCCAATGTTCCGCCGCTGAACTTGTATACGGCACGACATTGCGTCTGCCCGGAGAATTCTTCAAACCACGGAGCAGACCTGATTTCGCTAAATCAGACTACGTCCATCGACTGTCTGCATTTATGTGAACGCTGTCTCCGGTGTCAACTCGAATACAACATCGACAGGTCGCTCTCCCTCAAGAGTTATCTACCTGTTCACATGTTTTCATACGAGTAGATTCGGTACGCAAACCTTTGCAACAACCTTACGAAGGCCCTTTTCGCGTGATCGCTCGTCACGAAAACACCTTCAAGGTTGATCGACACGGCCGCGTCGAGATCGTCAGCATTGATCGTCTCAAACCAGCACACGTCGATGACAGTGCCCTATCTGATAACCTGAGATTCAATGCTAGAACTAGCAAACCTACTAGCGGGATCCTCAAACCATCTTCAGGTCCCACGCTAGATACAACTGAGACCTCACTCTCGCATCCCAGTCAACAGCACGCGTCATCTGCACCGTCTACGGACGAGACGACAGTCTCACGTCCAGATCAGCAGACCACGCCGCCCTTGACTTCGGATGAGATTGCAGGCTCACGCGACGCGAACGAGACTATCGTCTCACGTTCCGGTCGCCGAGTACGGTTACCCGTACGCTTCCTCGACTAGTCGCACAGTCGACAACCGATACAGTGTAGGAATATTCCTATGCTACTTGCATGCTACACTCCTCTTTTTTGATTTTCTTTTTGTTTCCTGAGCCCGCGCCTTCGACCATCTCCGTTTGGTTCCGTCGACTTCAGTCAACTTTGGCGAAAGCTGGATTGGCCACCCACGCTCTTGTCAACGTACTCAGTTGATATATTGGTTTCGAATGCTTGGCGTACGCTTGGTCTCGAACTTGGTCGTTACGGTCGCTTCTGGTCTTTTGGCTCAACGTGGTTTCGTCCTACGACTGCAGCGTTTCTGGTCCGCTTTCCCCACGAACGCCATCTTCAGCTTCTGGATACAAACCACTCTCGTGTAGCATGCCAACTCAAACAGCAAATACAGCACATCGCTCCTGGTACCGTTCTCCGAAAACGACCTTCGTTGGCAACTCGACGATCAACGGTCGCTTTCCTGTTCGCCAATTCTTCCGTCCTACAATCGCTCGTCAGCCGATCAGTCCCACGATTTAAACCGCCATTTATCGAAAGTGTTAACCCTTTCTAGCGGGGGGCTCCTGTAGTGACTCACGTTTATCACGAGAACACGACTGGTTTAATAAAAACAATTATTATTATAACCAACTGTACCAGTGTTTGTTTTAATGTGCTTTTGTTTAACTGTGCTAAGTATAGCCATTTTGTGCTTCCATTACCTTCCATTATTGTTCCGCGGTTTTTGGTACTGTTCGCACGTACTCCTGTCCTCTGCTTCCACTTGTACCATTTCTTGGCACGATCTCGGTATTCGTTCAATACCACGAGATCGCCAACGAAATAAATCTGGTTACGATCGATCCTCGCCTTCTGATTTGTCTGGCACGTGTTTCTGGGTAGCGGTGTTCACAGTTAATCTCAACTCGACGCCACGCTACAATCTGCGATTATCGTCGTTGAGTTTCGGGATATTTGGAGGTGATCTGAGAATGGCACTTCAAGACAGTTCTCGAAGGACTGCACATCAAAGAGCAAACAGCCATTCACACTCTCACGTTTTCCTAGCAAACGTTGACTCAATTTAAAGGACCACAGCCCTTTTAGCGGATAGCTTAGAGACGAGACTTAACATAAACGTACTAACCCATGGATTGATATCTCCCTCTTGAACTGGTCGTATCTGATCAATGTCTCATAATTTACCACGGTTAGAATTACCGCATATTCAGTAACTACTTATTATCTGTCTGATCATAGACCTGTAGAATTATGGTCTACTATGATATTAGTACTGCTCTTATAATAGACCTAATCCTAAATTTGTAGATTTGTCATGATATAACTGCCTAATCTATAAGAGCTTACGTGGAAGTCACACCATCGACTACACCAACTCACTGTATAGTATCAATTACCAATACATGATGTAGAACAAGGTTAGGCTAGAGAAAGAACAATATATTTAATATGAATAGAAGATATAAAGTAACATTGAGATGGACCACGCCTGCATGGACGAGCCATGCCATCCTATCAAACCCAGTCCATTCAATTCCTTCTCCGCGCCTTCTCCATTGTTAGGTATTTCCCCGAGTTAAATATTGAATATCTATTTTTTGAGTAGTCTCGTGTTCACAGCTTTGTGGATTGTGTGGCTATTGTCCAATGCCACTACAGACCCTATTCTTGCTCTTATTCTTCGACTCTGTTTACTTATACATCATCAATCGATTATTTTATTTATTTATCCTTGGAACAAATGTCTTCACTCACCACTCGAGTTATTACTCCATTATTTTCCCATCACACAACCTTCTGTCAGGTAATGTGATAGCCACAGTTGTACTAAAAAAACCAGACAATAAAAGAAGTAGTTATTAGTTTTTCTTAATTTTTTACTCTATTGTTGCACTTTCCGTTCTAGTAAATAGCATTATTTATTCTAACACTGACTTCCCTTCCATCATTTGAACCAACTCCATGTTCTTGAATATCACAACTCTTCGTCCTATATCACAGCATTCTCTCATCTGGGTGCTCGCAACACATTTAAGCCTAGCAACAAGGGCAAGTGCGAGTTTAACCTACTTACTTATCGTACACCTGTCCGTTCCGCTACAGAGTAATAAGCGTTGTTCAACGCTCATATACAAGTGCCTCGAGGCTCCCTTGCTTCTTTTTTTCAGCATCACGTTTTTAGGGCACAGCTATGGAGCAACCGTGACATTGACGCCTTCTCAAGGTTATAGCTTACATCAAACGCTCTACAAAGCTACTTCATAACAAGTGTAAATTCAAAAATTTGTGTTTCATAAATACTTAGCAGAACCAGAATGCTTACATTATTAAACCGAGTGTGAATCTGATTTGAAAAGTCGACGCAACGCGACTTCGGAAAAAATATTTTAGAAACTGCACTCAGTGCATATATTTAATGACCCTAATTGGGAAGCACACCGTAAGCAAGCAAATGTTGAAACATATAGATTATGCCTGTAAAAATGGAGTGTACCTGCTTTAAAACGAATATTATCCAGAAATTCTACTGTTATAAAACAAATGCGCTCACTCAACCATGATATATACAAGTCCGTAATGAGCTAACAAACGAACTAGAATTAGTACACTTAAATGGCCAAACAACCGCTTAATTGACATATTCAAACATCTGGATTTTTCTGAGACAACAGGAAGCAAGCGTTAAGGAATCTATTGGTTTGTAGACGATCATGACGAAGATACTGGATAATGTGAACTAGAAGGATTCGGCATGTTAGTCAAGTGCACTCTCCTGCGAAATCATAAGCATGTAGGTAGACATCCTAACTACATTTGATTAACTGTTACTTGGGGACTATAAATGTATATTTGATTCCAGTCGAAAGTGCCGGAGCGTTCTCGCTGCATACAGCATTTCTTTACCGACAAGACTGTTGGTGTTCTTCAGAAAGAGAGATAAATATAGACTGAGTTTCGGAAGCCAGAGTTAAGTCTCAAAAGCTATGGCCTGTATATGCGGCAGCATAACAGAAATCAGCGAACTCAAAAATTCTGGATGAACCCTAGCTCAAGGCTGTCGGTCACGCATTCGACCCAAATAAGGATTGGATACGATGAGCTACTCAGCTCTCGCAACGACAAGATGGCTTGTAAAGAATGCTTTTCAACACGTCAACAAACTTCTAAATACATATCCGGACATTTTTATTCTTGAATGGGACAATATATATTTTTAATTATTAAGTTGTCACGAACGAAATAGATGTCAAACCCTACAAATCCTTGTCATATATAGGCTTCTGTACTTTTATGAATTTTTCTCACAGAGAACACGTAAACGTGAATAAGTTTACTCGATGTTCAATGAAAATTGTTGATGACACTTCGTCTTGATCTTAATTTAATATAGTCGACTTCGAAGTATTTTGTTTTAATATACTAATTATGCATTCTTTTTAAGCACATAATTTAAAAAGAAGGTTATTTGTTACTGTGCCTTTGGGTGAGGCAATCGTCTTCAGATAAAATCGGATCATTGAATATGAAGTACCATTTGAAGGTGAGTGTGATCAAACGTATTCCAATACACCCGTCGCTCAATATCTAACGATCAAGTCGGGCAAGTATTTACTGATTTCGGTATGTTTGGTGCAAACGGAGACACGTGTCTAATTTTAAGGAAAAACTTAGTTTCATGGCACATTTTAGGCAGAATAGATTGATTTAAATCGTCGAATGACGTCATATGTTTTTCATGTTGTCAGAGTAGTAAAAAGGTTACCGTAGCTTGTCAAACGCGCTTCACGTAAACGCTTTTACGTCGTTATTCATCATAAGTGTTAATATTTTCTCATTTGTGAGGATGATGCTTTCATATGACTACATTTTTATCATTAAACTACCTTTTTAGCTGGAAATTATCTATTTGTTTAAATTATTAACCGATGACTATGGAACTACATTTTCGGATAGGCGGTTCCGTTCGCTTGAACAATAATATCATAATTATTTAGGGTTGGCGTTATCAATCAAAGAAAACGATTCCTTGAAACCGGAATCCTTACCACTAGCTACATCCTGAAATGAAGTACGCCTTATCATAAAGCTGAATGACACACGTTCATGAGCCCCTCTGATAATATTTATAATTGGCTTAGAAACGTAACAAAATTCTCCGGTGGATGTTTTTGAATTCGTATCCATTCTTATCGTATTCAGGATTGGTTGCAACTCCCTAACAATTTGACACATGGCAGACTTTACTGTTAATCAGTAGTTAATGACCGAGATTATTTCTACTTTCGGCTGCTTTATTTACTTTATTGTCACACTTGCTAAACCTGTAATGTAATATGTATAGGTTCTCACTTCTTTGTGTCAGTTTGCTTCTTTTAAAAATTTTAACTATATTATCACACGAATGATTTTCTCTTGTTGTCTCTGACTTTACATCAAGTTCCTAGACATACTACGTTTTTGTAACAGCTGCGAAAGAGATGCAACTTTCTCTAATATCAGTGTGACATGCATAAGCTTCGGGTGTGGCTAAGGTATTCACAGTTCTTAGCAACATAGGCGTTCTCGGCCTGAATACAATGAAGCACTATTTGAAATATATTCATTTGGTTATTAGAAACATGCGATTCAGTTAACTTTTGACCACGACTTCTTTGTTTAGAAGGCTCTGGTTTTTATCTTCTCTATATTCCAATTAGTGAGACGAAATGTAAAATAAAAACTTTTGGATGACTTAATGCCTTCTAAGTAAGACTGTGAGTAATGCATGAACCAATAGGCAAACCTTCTTTATTTTTCTTACAATAGAATACCTCTAATATGTGTCTGTTTCATTGGCAATGAAATTATTAGTATCTTTTGGTTCAGGGATCTCTGTTTCCGGATTGCTAGGAAATAGTCATATGCTAAAGCATCTGTTAGACCCTTCAACATGATTGAGGATAACCATCTTAAGGCGCATCAGTTGTGTTGATAGTTTAATCTTTGATTATCCCCTGTACTGATTAGCGTTTCATTCTCCCCACTTTATTCTAGAATGTCCAACCTTAGGCTAACATTCATTTCAACAGTACTGTTAATGATTCCACAATCTGACAACAAAGTTTTCAAATTTGCAAACCTTGTTTTATTCTACAAAGACTTTTTAGTGAGATATGTATTAAGATGGTCTCATGTCTTAAAAACGACATTATTGCACACCAAATTTTTCTCTCCCGTTAGCAAGCTGTACCTCGACTTTTTGTACAGTAAGTCTTGTGTTGGTATACAACTTTAGTAGCCTTTACCATAGCAATTGCATCAAATGCTCACTTCTAAAATCATTGTATAAAATCAGTAAAAGTGAGACATTGCCGTAAAGCGCTTAAATCTTGGTAAACAGTTTCTCGAAACTATTTTGTACCTCAAGTGATCAAAGCTTAATTCAAATAAGGTACACAAAAAAAACAACACCCAAAAAGAATCGTGTGGTTGCTTTACTACCGAAAACTTGCGAAAACGATTTCATCTATGGTCTACTTAACAAGCTGTTGGTGTGATAAATAGGACAAAGCAAAGTGAGATTCAGGTAGTACGGAATTATTCCTTTTTTAAAGTTATCACTTAATAACTACACGTTTCATAATTGATATTTTCGTAATTGACCATTAGTAGTCGTCTAGTTTTCTTAGAGCAGGTAACAGTATTGTATATAATGTATGATATCGGGATTCTCGAATCTATACAGAACGTGCTCTAGTCGTTACGGATAAAGAAACTTTTGAAGACAGATCATGAAATCAAAGATAGATAGTGCATTGCACTTATCAGTAGGTTGTGCAATTATTTAAAATACAGTTATTGTTTCATAGAAACGCCAGGACTCTCCTGCTTCTTTTTCGACTCATTAAAAAATCATTGGATAACTTCTAATCTTACTCTTTAATTATCTTGCAGCACTACAATAAAATGTCTAACTGTTCCGCAAGTCTCAGATATTTGTTATTTAAAACTGTTAGACAGAAGAACAATATGTTAAAACTATCGTTAAACTGAGTTAACTCACTTAAAACGATTTTGTGTGTAGATAAACTTGAAAGATTACTTCTTGGGTTTTATCGTAACTAAATAACGTTTATTTGGCGCTACTCAATGTTCAGAATATTGACGAATTTGAGACGATCGGTTGTTTTATTGTTCCCCAGTTCTGTTTTCACAAAACAAAGCTTGCGAACTCGTACTTTGTTGAGTCTTCCCAACAGAACTTGAAAGTTTGGTGCATCACACTGATGGATAGAAGCAAACAGAGGAGTTTATAATCAGGAATGGATGGTGGCTAGCAGTGAAATACATAACACGCATTTCTTCCTATTTCAGACACGTTGGTTAGATGTACCTGCATACCAGAGTTGATATTCACACCGGAACTCGATTTTGCTGTTAGTCACAAGCCTTATAAGCAGTGATTGATAGTGATCAGCAGTAAACAGATCAATTAAAATCCTAAACGTCAATGAGAAGATTCAAACAACCATTACGAGAAATAAATAAACAGGGAAGCTTTTAATGAAACATTCTAGTAACTAGTATTCAATATATATCAACCTTATAAACGTTTTCATTTATTAAACACTTACTGAATACTTCCGTATATATATATACAGTCCTTAGGTTAAATTTTTAATTACAAAACGGCTATTTTACCCTAATCTGCCATTGAAAAGTACTGACTTTTGATGATGTAGTTATCGTTTATGAAATTACTGTTATTCATTTTCTTGGCCTCAAAATGTTATCGCCTTTATTGAATAGGGTCGATTTGACTTAAACGTTTCTATGGTTGGAGGAAAGTGTATATATATGTACATCCTTGTGGTTTAATAAATACTAGCCTTTTGTTTAAATATTTACGAAAGAAATATTTTCTTATCCCCATTCTAACTGAGGAATTGACGTTATAAACATTACCGTGATTTATTTAGCGATAGTTTCTGTAATATATATATATATATATATATATATATATTTGTCGCTATAGACAGCAACCCAGATTTAGCCATTGAAAGCTTACTTCCTATTTATTTATCTTTTTACTATCACAAACAGAGCTGTTACTTTCAAAATACTATGGAGTTATAGTTTTAAAAGTGCTTGTTAAAAAATGAAATCATTCACATGATTTCATCTGTATAGGATGATTTCCGTACGTATAGAGTGTTACACAAGGTCATTCGTTTATTGTTACAATGCAAATGATGATTGGTAGATAAAGTATATCTGCATAAATTGTCCAGTATTAAGAACGGCGTGAACAATGTAGGCATTGATAATATTAAATCTAGTTAACTTTCATTTTCTATCCTTTTGTCATTTTGATAAGTTTTTATTTTTATTTTCAACCTAGAAAAACCGTAGATGTAATCGTCTTTAGAAATCAAATCCTGTTGTTTTTTCAGTTTGAAAAATGTTTAATTTATATAAATAAAAATGATCAGTTTTGTATCAACATTGAAAGTGTTTTCTCACCATGTGTAAAACAGATTACAAGTCAGGGCCTGCCTCATGGTGCAGTTTATTGATTTTCGCAAGCTAGTTTTTTCTCTCTCACAGTAGGTTGTTGCTGATAGTGTCTAGCCTGCAGACACTGAGCATCTTGAGTAGTCAATTGTTTTTAAATACCTGTGGCTGCCTCTACAAAAATGTAGTTATATTTGAATTAAGTAAGATTGAGTACATTAAATTTTTGCATTAAATCTATTGATTTATATTTTGAACTTATTTAATGAAGGTCCGAGGCTCAGCTTCGAATGTGTCTAGTGGTATATGCTGTTGAATATTTTTTATTATTAAATTGTCACGGTTCGATTTATATTAGCTCTTATGAAAATAATCATTTGTTTTTGGTCATCTTAGATCCTCAACTATTAATCTCCTAATATAATAAAGAAACTTTATAACTGTGCACGATTTATCTAGTTTATTAGAAGCATTTACATTAAGGGTAACGATCATCTACAAAACAAACTATGTAAATAATAATCTAGTGTCCATCATTAACTGGCTTCAAGGAGGGTTTAGTAAGGTTGAAGAGGTAATATAAGCCGAGTCACGAATAAGACGGCAAACTGCTAGTGACACTTAATCACATTATATCACCATCTAATTAAGTTTGAAGCTCAAATAATAGTATTGCGAATCCGTATTTTAATGTTATCACAGAGATATTTGAATGATGTTGGTCATAACTCGTATAGATTCATAGCTTTTCAATTCTGAGGTGTATCAAATGAGAACGGAACAACTATTGGATGCTATCCGGTTCTTATCACCTTCCATGTAATATCAGTATTTAATGTATATATTGTAACATTTCCAAAAAGAATCTTCACCATTGAAAGTAACTAAAAATAAATCAAGTAAACAATAGTGATTGTTTTTCCCACAATTAACTTGTGATGAAAATCTATTTTTACATTTGTAGCTCTGAAATTTTATAAGTCACAATTATATAAGTGGTTATAACTTGTGGCCTGTGTACCCTGCTAATATATAGCGTAATGATAC